TCTTACAGAACTTCTCCTGTCAACAACATGGCACTTTTTCACTTTTTTTTTCATCACATCTTGAGAAGCTCACAAGTTTAACTAGGTCCTGTAAACCTCACAATGCTAAAAAATCCAGCATCTGTTTGATTCCACCTCTAGAACGCACATCCATCCACCCATCCACCAGGAAAATTCCAGCACACCTGTAAGTCACAGTACACTGAAATCCAGTTGGCTCCAATTTTACCAAATAAGTAACACTGTAGAAAATGTGTTGTGAATCTTCCCTATCCTTTTGTAGCTCCTGCTTTTGGGAGTGTCAGTTAACTTACAGTTTACATTATCTTGACATTTTAAAGTTATATTTAAGAAATATTGCAACATCATTGCTACCTCATGATAAAGGCTTGTAGCCCAGCTGCACACCTGACTAGATCATTAGCAAAGCAGGAGAAACTGTATTTTAACAAAATCAAATAACAACCTTGCCAAAACATACCCCCTGATATTTCTCAAATCAAGTATTATGTGGAGCCTGATACCTGACAGGCTAAAGTAATAATTTGGCCATCAACCCTCTGAAGTACAGAAAAATGCTTCTAAAGACCTTCTGAAGAACAGTTTGCCTGTAAGCTTTGTGCATTTTTTCCTTGATTTGCACAGATTTAGTGCTATATACAGCTTAGCTTCACAAACGGACCTTTTTTCGTAACAGGATTATAGAAACTCATGAACTTCAATCCACACAATTAGCTAATCAGAGTATTGCCTCTTGCAAAGCATGGAAATAAATTCAGAAAAAAGGAGATAATTTTTATATAACAGCACATTTATTAAAGCAAAGTAATAGGTAGCCTGAACAAAAATACACTTAAAGCAAAGTAGCTAAATTGTAAACCCAGCAGGTAACAATGACCACAAGAACAACCTCTGAGAGTCTGACATGAAAGGTTCCCTCTCACACACATCAACCTCCTTTGCATCACATGGATGTAATGGCTTGCCTCAGATAACCCAGGCATGACTAACCTTGCTGCATTTTGTTGCTGTTATCTTGACAGCAGATGTTAGATGAAGGGTAAGCAGCGAAGACATGTCACCATACGAGTTTTGCTGGCTATCACAGTACACCTGTAATAATTACATGATTTTCACAGAGGAGGTTAACTTCTCTCTGGTTGTGTAACCCTCCCTCCCCACAGCCCCTGATGAAATCTTCCCAAGGCTCACCTGCCTGTACACCAAGAACCAGTTCTGATAAAGCACAGCTGTGCACCCTTGACTCAGACTGCTGAGAAAGAGCTGTGGAAAAGGTCTGTAGAAAGGTTAAAAGGGTTAATTAAAGCCCCTGTTAAGACAAGGGTTCTTAGTAGATCAAGAATTCAAAAGCAATTTCCAATTGGGAAAGGCATAAAATCCTAGAGGGGAAAAAAAAAAACCACAACAAAAGAGGGAGGCTAGTTAGTCTAAAACTACTCCTCCTTTCTGGTGGGTGTCCAGCTAGGATAGACCCTCCAAGTACCTTATCAGGGTGGTATTTAGGCTAATAGCTTGTTAAATCCAGGAAGTCTCTTGTATAACCAATTACTAGTTGTTCATATGTTTACATTCCATATATCCTGCTTGCAGAATCTATTTGTACCCAGGTAAAGATGCCCAAATAAGCTGATTCAAAAGAGGGTACTAACTTATGGGCATGGCACAAAAGCAAACAAATTAAGCCCCACATAAGACAGGCTTCATCAGCTGATGGTGGAGTAGCTGTACATCAGTGGCTGTCCATGTGAACATCATTATGTTCAGGGGAAGTGTCTGCTTTTGATTTCCTGTATTTCATGGAAGTTTCTCTCATGCTGTTCATAGATAGCATGTGCCATCTAGGTGTTTCTCAACATCTGCTGGCCTTGGATTGTGTAGTGGCCACAAACTGTTCCAAAATACTGTATCTTCTTGTTCATTGTGAATGTGGCATGTGCTTCTGATCTGCCTGGCCAAGGGGGCTTTTATGTAAAACCAGTCAATTAAAAAAGCTATTTCCGCACAGTAACTGCGGTGTGACCATACCCCAATCAACTTCTAGCTTAGTACTCTTAAAACAGTCCATAAACAAGGAGTCAGCTCTGAGACTGAACAGTTGCTTAACTCTGCAAAAC